CGGAGAATTAAAATGTTAACTTTGTGACTTCAGCTTTTACGGAGTGGAAAAACAAGTAAGTGAATAATTCTCTGCATTTTTGTGACCAAGGCAGGCTTCGGATCAGGCATCCACTAGCTGCTGGCGACATGTGATTAGCAAGAGATTGCTAAAGCTGCCTTCAGTCAAATGGAATGCTTGCTCTTGACACCTTCATGTCACAGATTGGCACCTGCCTGAGAAATTTAATTTGTGCATCATGTTTCATGAAAATGAGAAAACATAAGGAAGGGCAGAAAATATAAAATGCAGATATGGTCTGCAAATATTCATATGCTTTGAATTTTCTAGTTGATTTAATTGTATATTAACTGCTGTATATTTCTATTAATATTTTAATTGAATATTTTTTTTAATTTTGTAAGCTGCTTTGAGTCACAATGCTAGGAACAGGTGAAATATAAATAAACATTATGCTGATGATATTAATGATGATGGCAAAATGAACCTGTCTAGAGCAGTCAGGACAAGATTGTGTAGTCCTTTGGGACCTGGAGAGCAGAAAAAAGAAGCCCTTTGTGGCATGCAGAGAGTACACACTGTAAGTTGTAGGGCTGCAAAGGAGCAGTGATTTGGGAGTGGCTTGCTCAGTGTCAGAAAGTGTGGTTAGCAAGATCAAGGATTCAGGTAATTAGTTCTGCATGTCTCAGGGCAGGGACTGGCTCACTCATTACTGCAAATCTTTCTTGGGAAATTGTATCCCTTTGTTCAAACAGTGCCTTTGACCAGCGTCTTTCCATCAAGCTTGGGTGCAAATAAAAATCAAGGAAAGGTGCTTTCTTCCAGGTTTGTGTGCAAATGAGAAAAAAATGAGCCTAAACCTTTGGAATTAAGGCATCCCTGCTGGAAACCAACTGACTGGCTGCTGTTGGGGTCTGCAGTAGCAAAGTCATTCTTAAACTCAGAAAGAAAAATTATTATTCATGTGGCTATTAATTTGCAAACCATCTGCACTGATTTATGCTGTAGCTAAGTCTGCTTCCTCAGCTGCACTTATGAGGTAAGTTGTCTGCTAAGCTTGTAAGTAGAACTGCTTCCTTATGGATAGGGAACTCCACAGAAAACAGTGGAAAAGAACAGAAATGGCCATTCCCTCCTCATTTAAATAGCCTGAGAGACTTCCAAGAAATAAGGGGAATAGGGTGACAATACTGCCAGAAACCTGCTGGAGGAGATTGACAGTCTGGATCCAGTTTTTCAACAGTGCTCTGATTTTGCCTCAAAGTGGGGTGACTCGGGTAGGGGAAGTTCTGCACAGAACTGATGGAACAGGTAGATACAGCCATGATGAAGACGATAAGGCATTTTTCCTGTGTGAAAGGTCTGGTATCCACAGGTGAAGCAGCTTGCTGTGCTCTCTTTCTGTTCCTTCACAAGAATGACACATTTGTGTTAAGCAGTCTTTCTCAGGAGTAAACTGGACTCTCTAATTATAAGAGGAAATGAACAAAAGGCACCTGGCCATATTCTTAGGAATCTGTGAGGTGCACTATGTTTGCAGAGTACTATAATAGTCCTTCTGACCATGTAGGTTGAAGCATAAGAGACATCTGTCTTTATATGAAACAACGTCATTTCTTTGGAAATGAAATCTGGAAGTGGATGCAGGCCACCTTGAGTGCACTTTGGTTTACTGCTCTGAATAGGAACATGTTCCTTTTCAGGTACCCTTGTGGTTCCCAGGTGCTCTTTAAAATGATGCTCACCTTTCAAGTTCCATCATATCATTGAGCAATCCTATAGAGTGAGGTTTTAAGTTATTTTGATTTCATGTCTGCAATGCCCAAGGTGCTAACAGCAACTGCACTTTGGAGGAAGGGAGTAGGATAAGTCCATTACCTGCTAGGTCCTCAGCTGGAGCTGTCAGGAATAGAGGGAGCATTCAAATCTGAAATGGAATGAAATGTGGCACAGCCATCTTCTGAAACATAATCTAATGATGCTAATGACTAATAGGCCACAGTGCCTGTAATACCAGGAATGACATTAAAAAATGCAAGTCAAAAGCCTTTTGCCATTCATTCACAGTCAAACCAGTCCAACTTGCTTTGCTGATGTTATTTCTCAGGTTTGCTGTTTTTGGGACTTCCCTCCCCCAGCTACGTGCTTAGCTCTTCAACCAGCAACCTGTGCCTGCCCCCACTGTTGCATGATCCAAGTGCAAGGATAAATCGGGATACAGGTTTCCCACTTGAAGAACCCGTGGCAAAGCCTTCTGCTGACTGCATTCCTGACCCCACTGCACAAGCCCGCTAAACACCTCACTTCAACAGCGCCTTACAAACAGAATTTCAGAAATTGAGGCACAAGGAAATTGGAAGCAGTAGTGCCCGTGGTGTTTTAAGTTCCTCTTGCACCATAAACCACTGAAACAGGTGTGTCTTAACTGTGCCAGGCTGTACTGTTTCTTCCTGGGAACTCCCTTCTGTTGCTCATTTTTTCCTTGAGTGTGCTCTATCCAAGAGCGGCAGTTGGAGACCAAAGAGACGATAGCTTAGTTTCACAGTTTCAGGCAAAAGCCTGGAATTCAGTTGCATTCTTCCACTGCTGCTGTTTTATTAGGGTTGTAGGAATGTGCACGAGGAGGGCCAAGCTCTTTGCAAGAACCTTCGGGGGCCCTGTTCCAGCTGAGTACCTCAACTAGCTGAAGTTGGATGAGATCAGATGAAATTGTCCTCTCTATAGGAGAACATGCTCCTCTAAATTATTACTCATGACAATTTGGTCAGCTTTTAAGCACATGCCTGCTTTAATTTCTCAAGCTTCGAATGGATGGCTAAACTGGTGCTCTTCATTAGTTGGATCAGGGAAGAGGGATTCAACCTGTTGGATGGGCTTACTCTCCCCTGGAAGGTTCCACTATCGGTGGGGCAGCGTTTTTCATCCAGCAGCAAGTAGAAGATAACATTCCTTCAATGAATCGTCTTAACGCATGCATTTCCACTACTCCTCTGTTTTTGTGGCAGTGCTAAATGAGGGATTAAGGGCATAATCCAGTGGGTTATAACCCAAATTGGAAGGATTCCAGGAATCCCATGCAAAGTTGGAGGAGCACTGAGGAAAGTGCCACCTGCATGTTCTTCTGTCCCCCAAAGCAGCTGGGAACCTAATTTTGGATGTCTGTGCAGCACTTCAGAGGGGGAAAGGAGGCGGCTGAGGCAATGCCAGGATGTTTCATACCTTGGGAATACCAGTCTTCTCCCTCCCTGTCCCCTAGAATGCTCTCCAAACTCCTTCTCCAGGACCGCACGTGGCTTCTGATAAGCAATTCTTTCTGCACCAGCTGTGATCTCCAGCTCCAAAGTTGGAACTCTTTTTCTCCGACCTCAAATCTGGAACTCCAAATGGTCCTATGGTCCTCCAGGTGTTGAGGAGGGGCCATAGGATCACCCTGCCTCTTGCCCACATCCTATTCTTCAGATGCCTGGCTTGTTAGATTGTATGATTGCCACAACATACAGCATCTCATAAATCTGAGAACAGTTTGTATAAATAGATCCAATTCACATAAAAATCAGAAAACAGGGAAATCAGCAGATAACTTTCAAAAGTGTCCGCTTTCTTAGTTTGCTTCAGAGTGCAAAACTACAAGTTCTGTGAAATTGGGATTGTTTGGGGTGGGTTTTTCCTTGTTGGTTGATTGAGATTTTTTGCTCCCTCTAATTGCACTGGTATCTGGTACAGAGACATCAATATATTTTCCTAGGGTTTTGAGTTTGGACACATTGGAAAAGTGACAGGAGAGCTTGGGGGATTAGCAATTGTGCAATTTGTCTTACAAACTGAGACTGCAGCACATCCTGAACCTAAGGATATCAGATGAGGAGTACACCCTTATGTTCTACTGTGAGCTAAACCATCCTGTTTTATCCTGCAAGCTTCCTGCCTTTTCTGACTCACCAAAAAAATTCTGGTGAGGAGGAAAAGATGAATCGCTGAATAAAGCTTGCTGATTGTTAGTGGGTGGAGCAGTTTATATCAACTTTTCCCTGGTCACAGCAGCTTATGTGATACTGACGCCTTTAACAAGTCAGACCAATTGCTCTCTCACTGATCTGAGCAGTAACAAAGCTCTTCACTTCCCGGATAAATCAACTTCCTCTTAGCTTCTGCCAGAGCCATCCCAAGATATGTTGTTGCCTGAGGCAAAGGAGAAGTTGGCACCCTTCTCTGTAAGCCTTCCTGACTGTCAACTGAATCCTACTTTTAACAACGTTGATGGCATAACAGCCTTCATCCTGTCTGATGGGACAGGCTTGTTTCGGAGAGCCAGACGAGAGACCGAGGTGGCTAACACAGCTCTGCTCCTCCCACGGAAGAGAAGAACCAGGGAAGCTGCCATTGCCTCCCACGCCACCTCTCCACACAACATCCTCTTGGGCAATGCCTCCCTCTCCCGAACAGGAGGCTGGCCCTGGCTTCTTCCTGGCATCTCCCTCCAGTTATTGCTAGCAGATGGGCATAACGAACTGAGACTCCATGTAAAAAGAATTCTTTTATTATCAAATTGCGTTGGAGTCCTTAGCAACATACATCTGGTCTACACCTACGAGCTCACAGTCAGATTGCCACAGAGCACATCACAATCATTTTCAACAATAAAAATACAACTTGGAAGAAACCTAGTGCAAGTCAGTGCTTTACATTTTTTTTATAACAAAGACGGGGTTTCTTTCATTCTATATACAAGAGGAGGTTCTTCCTTTTGAACTTTGTACACTTAAAACACCTCAGGATTGGGTATTATAAAAATAGATAGCATTCAAGTTGGGAACCGTTGGGCAAGTCTTTGCAGTACAGTTTAATTCCATCTCATGTCGTTTAGTCTGTTTCTTCATTCTGAGAAGAGTCTTTGCTGTTGGTTGATACTGCACAAACAGGACCTTCAAGCAGCAGTTGGGAGAAGCAGCAACTAAGTTGTACTCTCCAGCACAGAAGAATGAGGAGTGAAAGACGCACCCTCAGTAATACATATTTTTATCCCACCAGCCTATGATAGGAGGAGAAACAACAGAGGCAGAATTAACATTTTCTCAAAGGTGCTCGTCATAATGTGCAGCTATTGGTGCGGCTTCTTCCTCCCATGTCTGCAGTTCATGAGTATGTGGGAAAGAGCATGGGACATCTTTTCTCTCCTTCCTCCCAGACAGACACAAATACTGGGGCTACCTTTCCTGCATGCATCTCCTTTCAAGGGTTCAAAAGTGCATCAGTACCCTTCCCTTCCCTTCCCTACTTCCTTGGAAACTTAGAGTGAGGAAATCCAGGCATGCAATTGTGGAGCACGCTCAGCACTGCCTGGCCTGGCCGATTCTCCCAACTGGCATCAGGACAATTAGAAAACATACATTTGAGGTGCCATTGAAATGGCAAGCTTCTGGATTCTAACCAACCAACACATATTTTTTGCTCTTCTTCCAACATTTTGCACCACTGGTTATGACGGTGATAGCATACCCAAGACCTAACTAGTGATTTCAGCAATGCCAAGTAGAATTCCTGACCTGAGGGGACTTTTTCAGCAAATACCATACTACCTGCAGTAACGTGAGCATGTAAAACTCTGCATTCCATAAAATTTGCTGAGGTCTTATTGGATGTGGCAGTTCTAGATTCGTGTGAGATGTTCCATTACTTACTTCCTGGATAACGCCTGATGAACAGCTTGCGAATTTCATCATAGACCCATATCAAGAAAGCATAAGGCATGGCAACAAACCAATACTGAAACCTGGGGAAGAGAATATGAAGCATAGGACAGCGTGCTAAAAATACCCATGCAGTATTTGGCACAGCAGCTGATGTTCCGCTGTGACTCGATGGTTTTCACCCCTTTTAACCTGATTCCCAACTTGTTTTCCCTTTCAGAGCTGCAGCCAATTTAAATGTATTTGCTTTTGGATGATACAGCACCATAGACAAAGGATTAAAATATCACCACAACCAAGCTTTGTATATAATTCTTTTAAGAAGCCTCTCACAAGGACAGGAGTGATTCAATGCCAATTTAGGGCTTACGTTTGCAGATTTGGTAATAACTTAGGGGGGAAAGTGGAGTTAATTAATAACAAACAAAACCACCATCCTATAGTTTTGCTTCTTATATCTTTACAACCAAGGTTGGACTGGAATTTTGATATAATCAAAGGGGTCTTCTCAGTTTAATAACCTTTCATTACCGTGCCTCAAACTATAGGTCCTGAAGCTCTGCTTTAGAATGAAAAAGTCAGTGTTTTCCTCATTCATGTCTTGTCTGTTACCTGTAGAAGGGTGGACCGGAGTCACTCACCCAAAATCCCCACCCAAAATCAGCTGTTCAGCCCTGCCACAAAAGGATTGATCCCAACACTTTGTAGCAAAGGAATTGAACTCACCGGAGTGGCGTGAAGTTTAAGGCATTAACGCTTCCAAGGCCATAGCAGAGAATCAAAGCAATTCCTATCTGGGAGATGATGCCCAACCAGATTACTTTATTCCTGAAAGCCAATACGACACGTGAATGCATTATTGTGCAGTATGCATACAAACACCTCATTAACAAAAAGTAGATGCTCATTTCCCCCTCATATACCAGTGCAGAGCACATCACGCAAGTGTGCCGTGACACATGTGGAGTGTGTGCTCGCATGCATTTTCGTATGGATACCAAAGGCAAGAGTGTTCCTCGGTTCCATGACCAGAAAACTCCTTGCTTGCTTCATTACGCAGAGTCACAGCCTTGGGATGCTCTTTGATCCATCTTTTCATCTAGATCTTTACACCTCAACAAGTGACATTTTTATCTGACCTTTTAAGGCTAGAAGGCTGGATTTCACCCTTTCCAGATTCAGACTTAACTGTTGACATTCTTGCCTGCATCACTTTCAATTCCAACTGAAGCAGTATCTCCTATTCATAATGGATTTCAGCTAGTGATTTGCCTGCAGTTTGTTTTTGGTCAGGTTTTACCTAGTTCATCTACTCCTGAAAAGACCATGTAACTAGGAATAAAAATAGTTTTTCTTCACCTTTCAGTCTGGTTTTTTAAACTTTACTATGGTAAAATGTCTTTTGATAGTTGCTTCAAAAATAGAGAGGGATATGCAAATAGTCAGCATTGGATAGTGATTAATTAGTTCTTCTAAAGTGTCTAGTTTCCCATTTTGAAAATAGAAAAGTGAAGATAGTTGGACAGTTTTTGACCAATGATTCTTTTTATCTTTGGTCTTTCCAGGAGAGACTACAGCAGATAGCAAAAAGGAAGGAGAAGAGGGATGAACTGATTCTAAGGTCTGAGACTCCAGTTATTCCAGAGTATGTCCTGGACACCAACCTGAAGAGCCCTTGTTGGAAGATGGAATTCCTTCGTGTCTTGCGGATGATCAGGTCAGCCACTTGCTGAATAGTGATGCTGACAAAAAAGGCAGTGTAGCCATGATACTGCAGGTTTCTTCGTTGCTCAAAAGTCTGCAGGGGAATGATAAATATGGGGTTGAGGGTGTGTGGTTTGTTGTGTTAAAGAGCTGGTGCTGAGGTGAGCCCGCACAACCTGTGTCCACCCAGGTGCTTGCTAACCCCCCCCCCCCCATTGATTGTCCTGTTGTGTGTGAGCAGGCAGGCAGCAAAGCTGAGGTACTTCTGAAGTTGCAGATGGGGATGTACTTGTTCACCGAGTTACAAGTCGTGTGAGCCTTCCTACAAGTATATGACCCTGAAGTCCAAGTAAAATGATGTTTGCTTGTAACACTGAGGAGTTCCCTGCCTATATATGATGGGTTGACTCCATTTCTACTAGGGCAACAACGGCCATAAATGGACCTTCTCCTTTCTCTTTGATGTATATTGTAGAGCTCGGCGTGCTGGCACATTTCCTGGAGCCCCAGTTTGGCAGATACCTGAGGGCCTTTCAGTGCCCCGTATCATTGATATAGGGGGTATTTGTGGTGTATAATGGAGCATCTTTGATGAATGGGACAGCTTGAGCCTCCTTTCTATGCAGGAAGGACTTGCTGCTTGATGGTGGGACTTCAGTGCCCCCATGCAGTATTGCATGCACACTGTTATTTAGCCGAGACTGGTGCAAGATATATGACTGATTTTGCACATAATGCATTCTAGACTTTATTTCAAACTAAGGTCATGCAACACAAGCAGTTTTTTAGCTCATGTGAGCATTTCTGGCTTAGGAATGTGACCTCAGCAGGAAATGCTTATTATCTATAGGCTACATCCATCCATAACTTCCTATCTGATCCTGTGAGCTGCTACACCAGGAAATAAGCATGCAGAGCTGGGCTCAAGGACTGCTATGGCAGGTCAAGATGCACAGCACTGCAAGACTCTGTAGCTGATTCCAGCAGGTGGGATTTCACTGACACAACAGTGTGTGCTAAGGCTGTTGACTCTCAGGGGCTGGTTTCGTTGGATGTAGCCCTCAGTAATGATGTAGAAAGCTGTAACAGCTGGGTAGGAGCATGAGAGGTGATGACTGACTGAAGAGTTTGCCATCCTAACAGAGCTATGGAAGCATCACTACTATGTGCCTGAGATATCTTAACGGCCAGTTCTCTACAATGGGCAGTTGATGAATATGATGGCCATGTCCTATTTATTTCACACAGGATGGCAATAGGTCCTATTGGTGTGGGGTGCTCTGATCTGTGATGAAGTCCCATCAGTGGGAAAGCAAACATCAGCCAGAGTGTTTCATCTCATGACAGAGGCCTCTGGAGTTCAATAGGTACCGCCCTTGCAGTGCCCACTTATAGATGGTTTTAGCTGCAACCAGAATAAGTCAACTAAAACTGTGTGGAAGATGCAATTGTTCTGCTAATAATAATAACGGGATATAAGTGAAGGAGATTCTATGGTGCTGTACCCATTCTTGCCCATAGCTGTCCTCCAGGGCATTGATAGATGGATCTTCCCACTTGACTCGGATGTTGAGAAGGGAGTAAGGCAGCCAGCCCTGTTCAGCATAAACTGTAAAGTAGGCCAGGAAGGCTCCAATGGACTGTATAATGCCTGCAAAAAGAGAAATAACAGACTGAAATGTACCTACAGAAGAGAAAAAGAGATGGCAAAAAATGAAAAGCTGAATGCCCATTCCATTAACTTTACTGGATACTTTTGCTTCCAGGTTACTAAGAGCGCTGGATTTGCTCCTTGAAGGCTAGAGTTCGTATCTGAGCTCAGCCACAAACTGGCCCAAAGCATTTCCCATTCGCCGCTTATGTCTTACCAATCTGCAAATAGGAGTACACTGCAAGTTGCTGGTTGACCAGCCTGTCCCTTTTCTTATGACGCGGCTTCCTTTTCATGATATCACTTTCAGCTTTTTCATAGGCCAGCGCAACGGAAGGGATCTGTAAGAGAACACATCACAAAGACTCCCAGTCAGCATGAGAATGTAAGATCCCAGTTCTGCTTGCTTGCTTGCTTGCTTGCTTGCTTGCTTGCTTGCTTGCTTGCAATCATTTTTCCCAGTGTCACTAAAGCAATTTCATGCTGCCAGGATACTAGTTAATTAGAGTAAATTTAATAAGAACCTCCTTTGTTAAGAATCAAGAACTCTTTAGGGCACAATCTCATGCATGTCAAGACAGAAAAATGTCCCACCTCTCCCAACACACCCCAGCCAACATAGCTAGCTTAGGAATGTGTGGCACATCATAGCAGGCAAATAGGAAAGTTGGCAGTGATTGGCAATTAGCCCTCATTAAGCAAGACAGATGTGAAGCTGCAGTGCAAATGGCAGGTTGTAAAGAAGTTCATGACTCACAATGTCGGTGCCAAGGTCAATAAAAAGTATGGTGATGGTGCCAATGGGTAATGGGATGCTTGCAATGATATAGATGAGGAACGGACAGAGTTCAGCAATGTTTTTGGTCAAGGTGTAGGCGATCGTTTTCTTCAGGTTGTCAAAGATCAAGCGACCTGTACAAGAGAGATGGATCATTGTCAAAAGGCCTTCATTGAAGCTGTGTGCATTATTTTTTCTGGGAATACAACCTGCCATGATTTCAAAATCCCCTAAGGAAAGACATATCTGAATTCTTAATTTATTTCACCCTGCCATAAAATCTGAACCTATTTTTCTGAGGTCTTTTTGTTTTATGTTTGTTTGCTTGTTTTATATAGTGTTTGAGATCAGTGTAGCAGAAGTAACAGCTTCTGTATAGCCTGAAGTGCCTGGTTCTGCCTAATCTTGGGAGCTAAGCAGAGTCAATCCTGCTTAGAATCTGAATGGGAGACTTGAATCCTGTATTGAGTGGCAAGTTGGACTTGGTGGGCTTCTAGGCCCCTTCCAACTGTATGATTCTGTGATTTAAGTCTTAAGCAAGACGGTGAGAAGTAGAAAAGTTGTAATGGTTCCTGGTTTAAATCATTTACCAAATGGTGTTGTCCATTAAAAGAAATGACTTAACGGTGAAGATAATGTTGACCTCAGCTGTAGACAGCTTGGCAAGGGTGGCTGATGACTCTGGTGTTAGTGGAGTTCCTGATCCAGTTCTGTTTGAGCACTACAGGCGCTGTCCATGGTGCTGATGGGAGCGATCCATCATGCTGATCTGCACCCTCAGGATTGGTTTGCCACCACAGAGCAGTACACACAGTTCCCACCAAGCTCCAAACAGAAGCTGCAACAAAGAGTCCCGCTGACCCAGGCATCTCCAACCCTCCCTGCAGCTTGGGGCTTCATTTCCATGAATGGCACTTTCCAAGCTTGCTTTTTGTTTAGGGGGCCACTGACAGGGAGACAGGAATGCTATAAAACTGAAAAACTCCAGCAAGAGCTACAAATTAAATGAGTCGCACACAATTGACCCTATTTTTGTTTCTTGCAGCTCCATGAGTGGGACCCCACTATGGATCAGGAACTGTGCACAGATATGGGAAGCTTAATCTCCTCCCTCAGCCACTTGTTCCCCAAAAAGGATCCATTAGGAGGTTTTCTCTTTCCTTTAATATTTGTTCACCTCCACACAGGGAAAGATAATTTTGGAAAACAAACTGGAAGTGAGGAATTTCAGACCTCCCTACCAGTTGCAGTGGTCCTAATCCATATTGGGATCATTCCCATGTACTCACTTGTGAAGAGAAAACAAAAAGCAGCAGTCAGACACTACATATTTAGCAATGTGAACGGTTTGAACTTCACCTAAGGTGTCCACTTACACAAGTGAACTTTCCTGCGACTGTCCATCTACAGTACTTGGGAATAAGCAGACAAAAAGTTCCACAGCAAATTTGGGTTGGCTTAGCGGATTCAGAAACCAGTGTGGAGTAAACAAGAGGAAAGTGCATGTTTAATGCTGCTGACCGGCATGTGGAATGATTGCTATGAAACGGCATTGTGCCACCTTAAGGTCCCTCATGGAATGGTCTCTGTATGTGAAAAAATGACCCTCAGATGCACCCCAGTTCTACCAAGAGACCGTTTGCATGGCACGTGCCTTACCTTCCTCTACTCCGGTGACAATAGACGCAAAATTGTCATCCAGCAAGACCATGTCAGCCGCATTCTTGGCTGCATCGGAGCCCGCAATTCCCATCGCAATCCCTATGTCGGCTTTCTTCAGAGCAGGGGAGTCATTGACGCCATCTCCAGTCACTGCAACGACTGCTTCCTGGAATACACAAGGTAAGGCTTCCTCTAAGGGGCTGCTACACGGGGCTTCCTGGAATAGTTCCAGACCTGTGTGGAGCTATCCTGAGTGGCCAGGATGGTGTAACATGTGGGTGGAAGCCATGATTCTGCTAGCTCACGGCCAAAACGGAGGTCCATTGACCAAGTTAGATGCCATTGACATATTCACCATGAAAGAGTGGCCCCCACCATGGATCAGAGCCACTGCGCACAGGTAGGGGAGGCTGAACTCCTTCCCACACCCTCTTGTTTTCCAGAAATGTTCCATCCATTCCAACAGAGTCTTTTCTTCACCTTCACATGGGGAGTGAATTTTGAAAAACAAGCAAGAAGGGAGAAACTTTGGACCTCTCTACCCAAACACAGGGGTCCCGATCCATGCCAGGCTTGCTCTTGTGCATTTGCTTCTAAGTACAAAACCCAAAGGGGCAGCTGTATGGGACATGTGTGATGAATGGTATGATTTGACCTTCACCTAAAATGTCACCTACTTGCATAACTGTCCATAGCCTCAGCTTGCAAAGATCTCTTATTCCTTCTCAAAGGCACCTGAGTTACTTCCAGAGTGAAAGTGGCTGATTGGCCAAATCCACATCTGGTCAGTGAAATAAATGTCAGAATAAGAAACTTCAGCAGAATTTAGAATCTTGTGAGCCAAACCTCATTAAGGCATGCTGGGGATCTTTTCTCTTGGCAGCTTTAGCGCATTGAAACCGCTTATAAATAATACTGTGCCAAAGAGCTTACAGGCTCTGAGAACTATTTATAGTTTTGTATGTGGTGCACTTTTCTCTTCTCTTCATCCTTCAGAGAGCTAAATATTACTCTGAAAATGAGTGTTAGAGATAAAATGGAGAGTGGGGAGGATGCATTTTGAAGAACCTGTGAGCTGTATTTTTTATTTTTGCGCAGGATTAAAATTGGAGAGCTGATGAGGCACTCCAAGCAGACTGAGGTGGAGAAGTTGATCTCTTCCCTAATATCTGTCTGTGCTATTTTTGTTGTCATAAATATTTGCTATCGAGGCCTGCTCAAAATCCATGCCGATGCAGCTGATTGCTACCGAATGCACACATTTTCCGTTTTCAGGGGTTGCTCACCTGTCTTTGGCAGCCCTCCACTATGATCAGTTTTTGTTGAGGTGAAGTTCGAGCAAAGACAATTTCTGAATGGTGCAGCAGGATGTCATCCAGCTGTTCTGATGTCATATCCTTCAGCTCCATCCCATTCACTACCGCAGCTTTGGCTTCTCTGTAAGAACCACAGGGGGTCACGATTAAACTCTGTGTAGACTTTGAAATCCAGATGGAAAACAGTTTAGGTATCTAAATAAATAGGACACACTGGGGAGTATAGAAGTTTGTTCATTTAAGTTATAGAAAGATGCCAAGGCAGAAAACATGTGAAGGAATGCTCTGTAATTTAACTTTGAAAAATAGGATTGGGAAGTGAGGAAAAGGAATGGTCCGGGGAGATTCTAGCTGAATAATTCTTACAGGACAGAATATGCTAAGAGGCCGAATCGGTGCCCTAAAACTGGGGCAACACTTAAAGCTGTGTTTCTTGCAGTGATGGTCCAGCCTTACCGTTTGTTCACCTGCTCAACTGGTATATTGAGGCGCTTTGCAATGTCTTCCACTGTCTCACTGGTGGCTGAAATGATGCCTACACTTTTGGCAATGGCTTTGGCTGTGATTGGATGATCACCGGTGACCATGATCACCTACAGGAAAGGCAAGTTTTCCGGATTAATGAAAAGAGGGGGCCAAGTTAAAGATGCAGCTTCCAGCACCTGAGTTGATTATTTAACTGGTTCACAAAACAATACATCATGTCTGGTCTGTTTCTACTAATGAACTGCCTTTTGGATACCAACCAATTTTAAAGGTAGAAACCACCAAAATTAAATTTGCTACTTTGCTGTACATGCATTTTATGTATGTGCCTGTTTTTAATTAATTAATTAATTTCTATACCATTCTATTAATATTTCTATTAATTTCTAACAGCAAAAGCTCTCTGGGCAGTTTTAATTAATATTCTCATGTGTGTGCACACCCACGCTAATGTTAAATGGAATTCCATAAATCTATAATTTCTTTTCACTTTTATTGTATATATTCCAAATTAAATTTCAATATTTAATATATTTCAGAATTAAAGCATATTAAGTTTAAGATCTCTTCTCACTGACAGCACAGTGTAGGGCACGGAATAATCAATTCAAGTTGCAACAACTCACAATCAGGCTGGACGTCAGGAGAAGCTTCCTCACTGTCAGAGCAATACGACAGTGGAACCAGCTGCCTAGAGGGGTGGTGGGCTTCCCCATACTAGAGACATTCAAAAAAGAAGCTGGACAGCCCTCTGAGCGGGATGGTGCAACTTGGTGTCCGGCAAGAGCAGGAGGTTGGATCTGATGGCCTTCATGGCCCCTTCCAACTCTGCTGTTCTATGATTCTACAAAGTTAGGAGTTAAATGGATCTCGAGTTATAGTGCCTTAAAGTTGGAATTTTTATTTCTCCCAAGAATTGGCATAAGCCAATAATTGATGTTCATATTGCATTTCCAGAAATTATATTGAATTGATGCCAATAATTACCACTTGCAGATAGTCCTGGATTTGAAGGGATGGGGAGGAAGATTAACTGCTAAAAGTTGCTTTAAAGAGGCCCTACCTTGATCCCAGCACTCCGACATTTGAGGACAGCATCTGGGACCGTGGAACGAGGAGGGTCAATCATCGACATGAGCCCCACAAAGCAAAGATTGGATGTAGGGAAGTTCATGGAGTCCGTATCAAAAGGATACATCTCTGAAAATTCTTCCTCAGGTAAGTACAAATGGCAGAAGCCTAGAGAAGGAAAGGAAATGACAGGATGATGAAGTACAAAAGATAAAGAAGAAAGAAAATAAATAGCGTGGTAAGAACAACTCTAATTTCATTGATCAACTGCCCTCTACAATATATTAGTTATTGGGGCTCTAGCTATGATGGGGGAGGGGAGAGACCTCTGTGCAGATGGAGCAATTTCGTAACCTCATATTTGGGAATCTCTTCCAAAACAGAACGTCCCCTACCAATCGTCCAACAAGCAAAATAAATAAGGGTATAAACCTGTGGGCAGGCTCATAACTCAGAGGGTTTCCAGATTCTGGATTATTCCTGTGTGGATGTGACATCATTGTGGTACAAGTTGAGCCAGCCAGTGGATTTCCATTGCTAAGATAGACCAGGACTTGCACAATTTTTAAACAGCTAGTGGAATTTGCACCAGTAAGTCCCTGGAAACTCCGTGGCTCGAGTGAAATTTCTGCACAACTGATCATACAAGATCCATGTGGTTTGGGGGCACTCATTTGTGCAAACGGCAGTAGCCATTTAAAAAGCTATGCACAAATCGTGACCAACTTAGGGATAAAAAACTGGAAGAATTCTTCCCAACCAGGCCTATTGCCAGTCCTCAGAATGGAAGCAGGCAGAACATCCACTGAGCTCAAATAAGCAGGATTTGCCTGTTTTGGTGCATTCCTAATTAAGCTGCTCTAACTCGGGAAAATGCAGTTAGCAATATGATTTATGTATCCTTCCCCTTAGTACATTCTCAAAAATAAATGCCACCCAGGCATTACAGACAAACAAATAAAAGTTAGGACTGATAGCTTTGAATTATCACATGACCTCCTTGACTGACGGCATTTTTTAAAGTAAGATTTAAGTTCCTTATAGCCTGAATTGACCTCCACACAAGTTTTTTGGTGGCCATTCAACTCACCCAGCACCCGCTCTCCCATGCCTCCCAATGCCATGTATGCTGTTTGGAAAGCCTCTGCCTTCTCTTCGTCAAGCGGCTCCTCTTTTCCATTGATCATCATGGTGCTGCACCTCTCCAGGATCCTCTCAGGGGCACCTTTCATCACCAGCAGGAAGCGTTTATCATTGGGATCATCGGTCTCATGGATGGAAAGCTGAAAGCAATGAAGAGGCAACAGCTGAAATGCCCTGACTTGCTGCATGCAAGGACTGGCTCTTGCCTTTCCAAGCTGACACTCCAAGGGGAGGAAGAGAGTGATGGGGGGCATCACGAATAACTGGCAGGCAAAGTTAGATACCAGATACAGTCCAGATGGTGGTAGCAAAGGATAAGTGACTTCCAGATGTGTTGGACTGCAGCCCCTATCAAGATGACTGGGGCCAACAGTAATTGTAGAGTGTGATGGAGTTTTTATGATACTGTTTATTGAGCTATAAACCAAAGCTGCTGTAGTGTGTCCCATCTTGGCAGTATAGTTTATGTTTGAGATGGTGGTGCAGTCTGGATCCAGACTTGCAGCAGACCCATAACTGAAGCCTCACTGAGTTCAGTGGGTCTACTCTGTGAGAGATTAGGTCTGCATCCAACACTGTATGTAGAAGCCATGCCCGTGTTGATCTTTGAAAGGGAGGTGTTGCTACGGAATCGCCTCCTGATAAGGTGACACTGCTGAGGAATTAGGGTTTGCCTATTTAGTTCCAAGTTATTTGTCATACCAGATGAATCATCCTGCAAGCCAGTTGTGAATTTAGCAAAGGTAATAGCACTTGATTACCAAAGCGGTACAGCGGAGTTTCTTTTCCTACAGTCACAGATCTGATTTTTTGCACTATTCTTTTTAGTTATTTTTCACCCAGAAACTCTCTTCGTTGTATTGCAAGTTTTAATTTTATACTTTGCTTGAGATCATATTTCTTGGCAGCTTTTGTGCATCAGCCTATTCTAAGAAATCACACTTACCTGAAACTTATTTGTGGAATTGAAGGGGATCTCAGTCACTTTCCTATTTCTCTTTCTGATTTCCATCACATCTCCCAAAACAACTTCAGAAAACTTCAGCAATGCTGTTTCTGAAGCATCTCCCACTACAATTCTCTGGAGATTTTAGGGAATAAAAATTAAATAGTCACATCCAGTGAACTAAATGGTATTTTTAAAATCACTTTGCATTCTATAACTGTTGCCTATCCTGTAGCATTTCAGGAAAGACCTAACTCTCATAATATGCATTACCATTATTCTCTTAATGAACATACTTATTTAAATGAAATGAGTTTTCAAGGTGTCTTCCCAAAAGAGGGAGACTGTAAGTGGTTAGAAATTGGTGGCTGCAATGAATTTTGAATTTTCTCTTAATATAGTTTCATTTATTTATCATTACATTATATTCATTCCCTGATTTCCTTGCCAGAAAACCAAGGCAGCTTATGAGGTTCTCCTCTTCACCATTTTTATCCTCACAACAACACTGTGAGCTAAGCTAGTCTAAAAGTCAATGACTGGCACAAAAGTTATCTAGTGAGGCTTATGGCCAAATGTGGAATAGAACATAATACTTCCTGAGTCCCAGTCCAGTGCTCCAACCACTCTGCCACACTGCCTCTATCAGGAGCAAGATAGCAATTTGCAATGCTTGTCTGACACATACTTCCATATAACTGAAAAGCCTACAGATATGTTTAAAGGCCCATTTCTGCTGTTTAAAACAAACAAACAGGTAGAGCACAGTAACCCAAAACATTGTATTATTTTATTTTAATACTGAACCTTAGTTTTACCCCATAGAAATCAGAACAAGTGGGAGCTTTGCCATACCCATTCCTACCATTTCAGAAGGCAACAGGAAAATGCAGTCTGGTGTTAGATACTATAAAACGAAAGGTGCAAATCAAGGGGCAGCGCACTCATCAGATTGTCCTAAGAAAGAAGCTAACATAAATCAGGTGGTACCTTCATGATGGGTTCGTTTTCCTGCCCTGGTCTGAATTCCGCCCGGTTGCAAAGGGATACAATCTTTGATAATGCCGTCCATGTGCCGGATGTTTGATCAAAAGTCTGGGCTGAAAAGAAAGCAGAGAAGGTTACACGGCATTTCAGAAAATCGCTGTCTCTCTTTGCAAAAACCATGCCCTTTATTTCTGTCCATTCCACGGCCTCTTGGCTGAGTATTTACTTGATTGGTCTTCACTGGTGTCAGCGGAGTAAATGGCATTGTCGAACCAAAGATGGGCGACTGTCATTCTGTTTTGCGTCAAGGTCCCCGTCTTGTCTGAACAGATGATAGAAGTAGAGCCCAGCGTTTCAACCGCTTCCAGGTTCTTCACCAGGCAGTTCTTTTTGGCCATTCTCTTTGCAGTCAGAGACAAACTCACCTAACAGTGCAGCAGAAAACAACAGCTTCTGTTAACCCGATTGGCATGAACAAACGCAGAAGCCTTTCACTCTGCTCATGGGCATCTTAATTCCACCAAGGCTGGCACAGCAGTTACTTCAACCACAGAATTTCTTTGGACAAACAATGCCCAATCGGATTATAGCAGTGCATCCAAGGAGAATCACGTTGGAGGTGAATCACATCATATCCATTAAAAAGCACGGTACAAAATTAATAAGATTCCTCAAGGGGTGGAACAAGAGATAGACTTTCACAAATATTTGAAGGATTGCACTGGTTAAAAAGGAAGTGAGATGTACACCAAATATTAAAAAATATTGGCAAAAGAATGGCCTAGAGAGTTTTGAAGGCAGCTTTTCAAGCAACAGAAGAGTTTTCATCCATAAGATCCCAGATCACTTCTTTTTCAAACAGCTTTCAAGTAAACAGCTTTGTCCATGTATAATTATGAGCATGTTAAAGAATGGGCTGGACATGAAAGGTCCTGGAATACATTCTTCTTATGATTACTTTATATCATGGGTATACTGCACCGTAGCTGAAGTTTGAGTTAACTTGTCTTGCGTTCAGCAGCACTCACTTGTGTGAGTTGTTATACACAGCAGAGGGATACAGTGGTCAATGCATACTTACAGTAACAGTGGCCAGCAGCCCCTCCGGTACATTGGCCACAATGATGCCAATGAGGAAGATGATGGAATCCAGCACATGATAACGCATGGAGACGGCAATGATGAAGAAGAGCACCCCTATTGAGATAGCTACAGCAGCCACAATATGCACAAAGTGTTCTATCTCAAGGGCAATTGGTGTCTTCTCATTCCCGACACCAGACGCGAGCGACGCAATCCGCCCAATTATGGTTTTATCGCCTGTATTGATGACTATGCCAGTAGCAGTGCCTGAGGGAAGGAAAGAGATTGACCGTCGTCAAGAAAAGAGTCATTCTTTGCCTGCTGTCTCCACTTGTGTCCTTTCTGAAATTGTCTTCCCTCAAGCTTTTCCAAGCTTTTCTGACACAGCCATGCTTTCTACTGGTGCTTCTTTTTTTTAGCAACCCCCTTCATTCCTGTTCACATCTGGAAGATATGTGCTTTTTAGGAGACTTTAGTTCAGGGAAGAAACTTACTTTCTGTGAATGGAAGAGAGTCCATGCTTGCTTCACAGTTCCTCTTCCTCCACCACAAAATTTTAAGATAAAGGAGGGATTGCTCCTTCACATGAATGGAGCAATGCAGAATCCTAGCTAATATTTCCTGTCATGTTGTAAGCCAATTTCATAAAACTGCCCACTGGGAAGGCATGTTAAAATAGTAGTAACAGTATTTTATTCTTGTGCATGGAGCATCACAGGATCACAAGGAACAAGTCCCTGCCACAAACGGATTACAATCTAAGGGCCAAGCTTTATGTTAGTCTGAAGATGTAGCTAGCAGCTACATCTTCTTTATAGTTAAGAAAAGACAGAAGGCTTGTTTGGGGTTAGTCCAGAGCTGGACTAGACCAGAACCAGAGCTGGACTTTTTGTCCCATGATGTAGACTTAATCTGGATCAAAGCTGCCACATCTGTAATTCCACCTATTGGAACAAATAACTTTTTGGGAATGAAAACAGCATGTTTAGTAGTCTCAATCCAGATTGGGATCACAATGGAGGGTTGGGATCACTAAGCAAATTAGTCATAGTGTTTGGGACTGGGTTGAAAATGTACTTTTGAAAATGATGGTTGATATATGAAGTTTTCTCCAGACATCCCTTACCGTACACCCAAGTGCGTGCATGCACATACATGTGTGGGCATGTACGCATGTGTGTGCCTGAATGCAGACATACCTTCCAAGCAAGTCGTGGAGTAGAAAGCAATATTTTTGGTCTCCAGTGGGTTTTCATGCGTGAATTCGCAGGACCGGGACTGTGGCTCTGACTCCCCAGTGAGGGAAGAATTATCCACCTGTCAATCAAAGACAAATCCGCCTGTGAGAATGAACAACCTTTAACTTGGTTTACCCAGCACTGGGTTTTGTGCAGAACTTCAGTCATGGTATATGTTTGTCTCTTTCATGATGGAGGCCAGCTAAATTATTATTTCATGGACCTTTAATATCCCCAGGTAACACCCCAACCTTGGGTTCATTAACGTAGCAAGAAAAGCCAGGTGTGCTACACCGCCTTTAGTTAAGTGTCATGGCTTACTGTGCATGTACCAGAAAATAGGATGATGAGACATGGTTTGTTATCTAGGAATTCTAACACTCCCTTCTAGCATACCTTTTCCTTAGATTGGCAGAGACTGGCCATGGGGAAATAACAAAGTCTGAGGTCAAGCGTGGTGATGTTATCTCAGTCTTAAGCAATCATGCACAGAACCCCAAAGGAGAAACTCCCCCTGGTGCAGCCCTATTAACTGACAGAACTAAATGATCAAGATAGCGGAAACTTGAAGAGTGTTAAACTTGAGATTCTTTTTCATCTATCTTTGAGGTTATGATTATCCCTGTTCATAATGCAGATCTGTAGAAAGATGTCGAATTCTGTTGAATTCTTTCCATTCCCCCCTTGGCTCAAACATAGCTATATCATCATCACCACCACCTTACCTTACAACCCTGACTGGCGATTAGCCTGATGTCAGCTGGTATTCTGTCCCCACCTTTGATTTCGACAATGTCACCCACCACTAGTTGATCTGCTGGTACTTCTTTTTTCTCTGCATCTCTGAGCACAAGGGCTTGCTGGAAAGAAAAGTCCAAAAAAGCTTGGTTGAGCTCTTGCTTTGGTTTTGTTTAGATTCATAACAAAATGCTGGAACGCATTCAATGAACTGAGCTACTATTATATTTTGTCTGCAGTTTTCTATGTTCATTACCAGAATACCATCCCATATGATTATCCAGAATTCCTGGATAGGGTTCTGTTGGTCAAAGCAATGAAAACCTGATCTCCGTTCTTGCAAAATAACTTTGAGCAGACTCATTTCATTGCTAAGCTATAGGAGAACATCTCCAGTATCCCTTGAAGTGTTCACCTGGTTTTTAAGCACCTTGATATACTGAACTGCCCTGGTCACTCACCTGTGGGATCATTTTACTGAAGCTGGACATTATGTTTGTACTTTTAGCTTCTTGATAATAAGCAAACATTCCAGTAAGAATTACAACCAAGGCAAGGACGACACCCAGGTAGAGCTGAATGACAAGAAGGTGACAAGAAGATTAGCCAAAATGAAAGTCCATTTATAGTTTCCGTGCAGGTGGAATACAGTTAGGCAAGGGTCGCAATAAACCATGTGGATGAGCTTGTTTAAATAACAATAGGAAAGAGACACAAAACGTTTACAACCTATCCATAAAGGGAAATACCCCAGAGATTTATAGACAAGAGCATAATGCTTGTGATCATTCAGATCAAGGGAGCTCTTGCAAAGAAGCTCTTCCATGGCAACATAAAGCTGGTGGCCTTCGGGATCTGCATTGTTTGCCAACGCTCACCATTTTGTGGGTTTAGAAACAGCACCAGGATGGCGCAAATGTGCTCCTGTAAGATGGAGCAATGCCAACGTGTGTTGTTTTTCTTTGTGTTTAACGGCACGATTCGATGGATGCTTAGGCAAAAAGGGCCTGACTCACAGCATGCCCTAGGCAATGGAGCTTTTCCACTGGGGCTGGCACCCCGGAGAAGTGTGGAATGACACTTACATTGTCAAATGCTGAAGAAACTTTCTGAGCGTACTGAATCCCAAAGGCAATCCAGCAGAGAACGGCACCAACCCACAAGAGAAGGGAAAAGCCTCCTATCATTTGTTTGAGAAACTTGATGATTTCAGGAGTCGATTTGGGGGGAGTAAGAGCATTAGGACCATCTCTGGCCAGAACCTCTGCAGCTCTTGCACTTGTAAGACCCTGTGGGGAGCAAAGTATATCGTCAGAGTGAGAACTCCTTGAGGAAATTCCGAACAATTCCAGGCAAATCCCAACCCTAACCCTACCCCTAACTGATGGGATGCAGCAAAAACTGATGTATTGATATAGATTTCTAAGGATTCTTTGTGTCGATAGCCTGCCATAAGCTAAAGGAGACAGGTAATATTACTACCTGGAGACAGATAATTGCATATTACAGTACATCTGAAGTACATCCCTTCAGGTGCAATAGCACAAATGCCATTTCTGGTGGCATACCTGAATGACATGAATTCAATATCCCTGAGCTACCTAGCCATGATTTATGTATTATTTCCTATCGTCTACATCAACTTACTTTAACTATATTTGTGCCATATTTTTCTTCCAGTTCTTGAATGCTGAGTCTGTGATCATTCTGAAACAGTAAAGAAAAAAGAGATTATTTGAGGTTTTTTTTATTTTTTTAATGCCCCTATGGTTGTCAGAAAGTGTATGCCATGGTTCAAATGATGCAATAGGCTCTTGTTTGTACCCTGGGATCTCCAGGATTGGTTTGTAGTTCTACCTGGGCATACCTGACACCCACCAAAGAATGTTTTCCAGGGCTAAATATTCCTTTGCTTACTGATAAATTCTTCCTATGAAGCAGGAAAATCCAATTGCATCTTGCATTTTGCTCTCAGCAAAATTAGTGGCAAGTAGCCATACATATTTTCTCAATATGAGATGCCTAATGACTTGTGCTTCCATCTGTTAATGCTGAGATGTACCAAGAACAGAACAATCATGACTGACCCTGTGCAATTGTTTTGCTAAGCATTTTTAAATGCATTGTAACCTGTTGGCTTAAGAGAGTTATAAGTATATAGTAAGGCAATGCAAGGCGGGTGTATTTGCAATTTTGAGATTTAAATGCTTCCAATTAATCATGGAAACATAATAGAAGGAAGGCAGAATATTAGATAGTCATATACAAGATATCTGGTTATCTTGTTATACATGATATCCTATGATATGATATCTTGATATCAGTTGCTTGCACAATCTTTTCTTGGAAAGGAAATTCCATAATTTCCCTAAGCAGCTGGCTGAGTCTTTCATTGCTTTTATTCAACATCACAGGGATTAAAGGATGTGCCTTAATTATTCCAGTTAAAATTTAGCTCTAGGGAGGGATCATTGCCTGGCACCCAAACAAATTCATCAGGTCTCATGCTCAGTCTTTAGCATCCTTGTATATGGGCTTCAGGGTGCAAAGTTTTCTACATCACAACATGAAAGATGGACAAGAAGAATCCAGGTGATGCCACAAGATTGAAGGCAAAGCTCTAGTGAAGCACAGCAGTAAACAATCAGAAGCAGAACCAAAGTTGGAAACATAGATAGTGATCAGAAAAAGACTCAGTTTTCCCCATCTCTAAATTTTGGAGGATGGGAGAAAGACTTAATGTTCTTCTCTAAATTTCTTATCTTTGTTCTTCTCTATTTCCTCCAACATTTTCCATGGGAAAATGCTTATATGGCATTTTCTTTTCCCCAGAATGAATAAATTACCTTTATAATTGTAATCTGCCTCATTAGGGGGATTTATTTGTGTAAGCTCTGTCTTTTTTTTTTTTTTTTAGCAGGATGAATAGCAGGTCAGGAGGACAGGATGTCCCTGGAAGAGACTCCCTACATCAGCACATCTTAGAAGATCCATGCTTAAGCAGACTCAAGACCTGGCTAGTCCAGTGTTAGTTGCCAGCCCATCAGCCATCCACCACATAAGCAGACCATCTCAATTTGTCTTTCAAAGGTGGTGGCCTTCACTAAGTCTTCCACGGTTTCTGTGCTGAACAGAGGTGAACCAAATGCTGGACCAGAACAGCTCCGGAGCAAGTGAAACAGTGCCTGAATTGATCCATTGGAGTGAAATTCTTAAAGGTACAGGAGCCAGGGCTGGATATAAATAGATATAGGTGGCAGCTTAATAAAGTTAGGCTTATGATAATATTTGCCTACCCAACTGAAATGTAATTAGCCTGTGTTTATATGATCTTTTGAGATAAATATGCTGCTGGAAAACTACTGAAGCATAAAGGAGCAGCTTTACAGGGTTGCTGGAACATAAATCATGCAAAGGTAAATAGATAATTTCCCGTTATAGACTGGGATATTTGCATTGTGATCTGACCCACATTTTACAGAACAAATGCAAATAAAGACTTTGGAATCCACCTACATACTTCATCCTGTGTCAGGATAAGAAGAGCAGGTGACAGCTTCTGTTGTGGGCGTTCCTCGCATTACTTACCAGGTCCAGCTCTTTCTTGAGGTCTTCGGTCTTGCCCTTTTTCTTGTTCCCTTTCAAATCTTTGTACTTTTCTTTTTCATCCTCTTTGCCCGTTACTTCTAAATCCTTTGTTCCACTGATCTCGACTGAGTAAATGTCAGACTTTTTCTGCAATGTGAGCAGAGGAGTTAGTTGGGCTGGTTCCAATTACCGCACTGACTCATTTTCCCTATGTCATTTAGGAACAGTTTCAGGATAAAGGCATCGAGGCAATTAAGGTCTTCTATGGTTAATTCCCCCAGAGCCCCAGCGACTAGGGATGAGCAGTTCCATTGTTCCATGGGTTGGTTTCCTTGAATCACTATTTCATGCTGCCTTCTTTCTGATTGATTTGGAGAATTTCTTACATTAATTCTGGAATTGGGGCATGCAGTTTGCTGGAAATGTAATTCCATCTATGTTCTTATCTTTCTCCTTCCCTAGCTTACTAATGTTCACAAGCACATGGACTCTGCTGTCAGGGAGGAGTGCCTGGTGCAGGCACTTTTTTTCGTTTTGGCGCCAGGTCAAAACTTCCTTATTTACCCAGCATTTGTTTGTTTATTTATTGCATTCGTTTGCTGCCCCATAGCCAGAAGGCTCTCTGACCCGTTCACAGTGCAATATAAAATGCAAAAATAAATAACAGTAATGACCAAAACCATAAAATATAATAGGATAAAAATACAATATAAATACAACCATATCAATAGAACAGGAGGAAATCAACACAATATAACCAATAAAACAACAACCAATAAGGCAATAAACCAGACGCAAGCCAATAGCCCAATCTACAAACAGATACCAAATTAAAAAGTCTTAACTTGGCACCAAAAGCAAGATAAAGCAGGTGCCAGTTGCACCTTCCTTGGAAGCGAATTCCAACGGTGAGTTCCGATAACACAGAAGGCCCTTTTCCTTGCCAATTTAGAAACACAGAAACAAAGCGAGTCAGAAGGGGTCTCCCAGGCCATCTAGTCTGACCTCTGGCACCAGCCAGCTCCGCTCACAACATGCCCACCATCTGCATGTCCAGCCTGTCTTTGAACACCAGCACCGATGGGGCCTCAACCACCTCCCGTGGAAGCCCATTCCACACCCTCGGGGTCCTAACTATTTTCCCCCTTACCTCATTGGGGAAGGGGGGGCGGTTCATGAAGAAGGGCCTCCATTAATGGTTGAATTACTTTACTATATAATGGAATTATTTTACTGCATAAATGTGCTGTTATGCTTTTAGTTCTGTCCTGAGATCCATTTCTGATATAGGCAGGATAAAAATGTTTTTAATTAATTAATTAGGCACTCATTGATGAGTCATAGCATGTATGATTAGTCGAGCACATAAGTGGCAAGTGCTTCAAAAGTACTTTTAGTGTTATATTTTATTAATCCACCCATTGTTAAAATAATGGAGCAGGAGGAGAGGAGAATGATGGGGAACGAATCTAAGCTGTAGCAAACCATGCATATAAATACTAAAAAGGGAGAGCCCTAATTGATTTTGTAGCACTCTGCAAACAAGATAGTACAGAACCCCGAAATGTAGGATCAATTTGGATGCGGATAGTTTTGCAAATAAGCATACACCAGACAGAAATATAAACACATGTCCGACAGGGTAACTCGAGTGTCTGGACATATCTCAGGATGGTCAGATCCATGCCTGAAAGTGGTGTCCTCTGGGACAAGAGCAGTTTTGAAAACACATATGTATGTGCTATGGAAACTGAGCATATTCATACGCATCCAATGTATCAATGTCCAATCCAGGTGGACAGCGGCAAGTGTGATCCTGAAGCTCATCTATAGCCTGATGTTGCCTAAACTTGGAAGCTCAGTGGGCTCTGGCCTGGTTGAAGTCCAGATGGGTGAGCTGCCCAGAGACCTTTGGCTATGGGTGGTATAGGAATCTAATATTATTATTATTATTATTATTATTATTATTATTATTATTATTATTATTATTTTGAAAAGGGTTAGCCATATATAATTCTCTTACAGTTTTAAATAATGGTGATTCCAGCCACCATCTTGGTAATTAATTCCAAGAGTCACTTTCCAGAGGAGAAACTCTTTTTGCTTCAGATTTTTAAAAACTGTCTATGCATAGAGACTCAGTGCAGTGTAGTAGTTAAAGGTGGTTGACTGGACTCAGGAGATCTGGGGCCCAGCCTCTACTCATCCACAAAACTCATCCTAACCTACCTCACAGGGTTGTTGTTGGGAGGATAAAAAGGAGCTTTGGGGTTATAAACCACTTTGGGCTCCTTGCAAGAGGAAAAACAAGCTAGGATGAAAAGGTAAGGCGATGATGATAAAAGAATAATAGCACATGATCGCTTTGGTACATGATGGCTGGAAAAGATGAAGAGGAAGAAATCATTTTGTACAAGACTTTCAGCGAGGTCTGCACTCATTACAGCATTTTGCAGCTAAATTAAGGAGTGCAGTTCACCTAGTGGCCAGTGTGTGTGTGTTGTGTGTCCTCCCTTCACAAGCTTTGCATGCTTGTTAGCAAGCCCATCCTATTGGCCCTTTCAGAGAACCCTGGACCTGAACAGATGCAAAGCACCCAACTTTTGTTCCCATCCTCGGAAGGGCAATGGGAGCCTCTCTCAGCATCTCCCATTCATAAAGGCAGCTGCCCCACCCACCCACGCATTTGGATATTCGAAACACACCGCTGTGCTCCGCTGCCTCTTTTCAAACAGCTGCGCTCCAAGACAGGCTTCCTGTTTTGATTGCGCATGCTCACTTTTATGCACATAACTTCCCAGATCATAATTGACCTATAAATTGCATGCCATTCTGCAGAAGGACCAGCTATTGGCTGACCCCATTCCATACCAGATTCTTTGAGGATTATGCTGCTGAGTTTGTGGGCATCATCGTCCTTGGTGCTGAGGAGCAGGTTGCTGCTTGCTTACTGACACAGAGTTAAGTTCTGAGCATGTGTGTTGTCATGAGATGACATTTTGCTCTTTGTAATAGTGCTAAATTAAACTGGCTTTTTTTTCTTCTCGGAAACCTGTTTTGTTTTCCTGTTTGTTTCATACACTTCCATCAAAGTGAAGCTTAAATGTCTGCAAGAATTCACTTTATATTTTTTAAAAACCCTTTGGTGGAGAGCATCCCAGAGATTAGTATTGTGTTTGCATTGTACAGTCTTGTTTTTAAACTGGATGTTAAATATTATTTGAGTCATATTTCAGTATGACTATGGAAACGGTTTAGGGATTTTTGAAAATATATAGCAATATATCAATGGTAGTTCCCACTCAGCCGTGGAGTGCACGGGGGTGACTTTGGGCCAGTTGCAGACTTTCAGTCCAGCCTACCTCACAGGATTGTTGTTGTGGGGATAAGATGGAGAGTGGCAGGGGGAGAGTGATGGAAGCCGCTTTGAGTTCTTTAAAAGGAAAAAGGTGGAATATATATCTAATAAATAAATAAATAGGTACATTAAATCAGCTAAAACATACATTCCCATTTCTCTTCTGTTCCCCCTTAAAATAGCCATCCTATTCCTGCCATTTGTCATGTGCAAATCATGTGACTCCATAAACATCTGTTCTGCTATTCAGTGTAAACTGCGACTCTTTCCACCTTATCTGAACCATCTCTAAACCAGAAGAACTTGGGGTCCACATTATGACGTTGCTCCAGGCACATTGTGAATGCAATGGAAACGTTTGACAATGAGAAACGTCCACCAGCTTTGTGCTCTGTGGGATACTCCCCATTATAGCAGAAATAGTTGCATTTAGTAAGCTCAGCCCAATGGTCCTTTTAACCTTATTTGCTATTTCAATCTCTAGAAAAGCCAAGGTGCCTGCTTCAGTTTGGCATCTGAGATGGACTGAGCTTTATTTTGCCAGGAAGGGAAAGTTAATGCCTTTGGACAACATGGAGAGGAACCCCATACTTCCAGGTGGCCTCAGATGTACTGGCCTACAAATCCCATCAGCCCTGGCCAGCATAGCCAATGGAAAGCACTGATGGGGTTTGTCACCTATCCCTGTTATAAGTCCCCCCAAGTTCAGGGGAGAGACCATGGTTCAGGGACTGAGCAAAAGGTTTGTTTGTTTGTTTGTTTGTTATAGTTATAACCCTCTTTTTTCTTTTTTTTTAAGAACCCAAAGTGGCTCTCCTCCTCCTCCTCCTCCTCCCAGTGTCAGTCTTATCCCCACAACACCAACCCTGTGGGGTAGACTGGGCTGAGAGTTTGTGACTGGCCCAAAGTCACCCAGTGGGCTCCATGGTGGGAGCAGGGACTAGAACCCGGATCACCTGAGTCCCAGTCCCATGTTCTTAACTACTCTGGCTATCAAATGTTTGCATGCAGAAGCTCTCAGTCTCAGCCCCTGACTTCTCCAGCCAGAAATATTGGGTAGCAAATGATAGGCATGACAACTGCTTGAGATCCTGGGCAGCAGCTGCTATTCTGAGTAAATAACACCAGCCTAGATGGGCACATTTTCTCACCTGGTACACCCCAGTTACCTATGTTCCTGTACTGAGCTCAGTAAGGATTCCCTCCCAAATAGGTATATGCCATTCTTACTTTTCTTTTCAACAGTATCCACCCCTGAACCCAATGATCAGCCCAAGAAAAATCTAGTTTGTATGCCTCCTGAAGCTAAGCAGATATAGACCTAGTCAGTTATCTCTGATAAGAAGCCTCTAGGACCGTCTTGTGGGTATAATACTTATTAGATACACACACGCCTACACACATACATAAACACTCCTCCTATCCTCTCATAGAAAGACTGAATTCTACCCAAAGGGGAAGCAAGGAAAGACTGATTCCTTAAACATCCATATATTCCGGAAATAACTGTTCTGACAAACCCAGAACTCAGCCCATTCCTCAAGAAACCTCCTTATTCTCCTCTTAAAATATCACTGGATTGGGAAAGGCAAGTAGAGACAGTTCACATTTTCAAAACTGCCAGTTTCCAAAACTGGAGGCAGAATATTAACGGTCTTATTCCCAACATACTCACCTTGCCCATTGTGATCTTCCTTTTCCTTTGACCCAGTGGACAATGGACAGGTCTTAGGCAGATAAATATAGAAACAAATAAGCCAAGACAAAGTGCTTGGGGAAAGGGTCAAAAAAAGAAAAAGAAAGAAGAAAGGAAGGGTGTATTCAAACTGCAAGACCCAAGGAGCTGTGAATTTTCAGTGGCTTGGAATGGAATTGCTGACAGGACATTCAGCCTCCCAAAAGGAGAGTCAAAGTCAGCCAGAAGGTTCTCCACACTGAAGCATCCTTGGAGCTGGACAGGTTCCTCTTCCAGAGCCTGTGAGAACTCTGGTGTTGCTCGCTGGCCCTTATGAGTGTTACTTGACTCCACCTCCTTACCTCTTTGGGGCCAGCCTACTTTCCACAGGAGGTGGAAACATACCACAGTAATGGGCAGATGAGTTCCAGGTCAGAGTGTCTAATTGTGCTTTGCAATGTTTGCTCCATCCGCTAGGGACCAGGGGCTATTTAGTTTGCCTCAGTCTAGTCATGAGCTCCCTCTGAATTCCTTTGCTTCAAATACTTCAAAGGGAGCAAATCCATTTCTCCAAGCATCTTCCTTCCCAGTGCAACTTTATAAACTGGCATCTAACAATTAAGCAGCAGGGCTCGCCAGAGTTCCGTCCTAGCTTCACTAGTGGCTCTTAGGGAAAAGTAGATTTCTTTCGTAATTTTGAATGTTAAGGATACAAACCCCAGCTCAAGCCTTTACGAGGAAGGGTGCTGACAAGGCAAAGATTGATTTTTCAGTGTTTGTGTTTGTGTTGCAGATTTCACCAGCAAGGTGTACTGGCAACTACTTGGGAGTTGAGGTGAGGAGAAATCTGTTCCTTTTAAAGCTTGTTGATTGTTATCAGGAATAAGAGGGAGTTTTATAAAGTCTAAGCAAGCAAAGGTATTTCAGCAAAGGAAAGAGAAATCAAGTAAAGATGTTACAAACAACTTATTCAAAATTCAGCAATCAATGTGAGCGGAAGTATCAAGCAGTTCAGATTCTTTTAGCATTAATGCTTATTCTGTGATAAAATAGAATATCTCCTCCTTGTTATCCTTGCTTCTCTTTCTTTCTTTCTTTCTTTCTTTCTTTCTTTCTTTCTTTCTTTCTTTCTTCCTGTTCCTCTTGTTGAGTCCAATGCAGCTCTTTTGATGCCACTTCATAGGACACTTGATTGATTGATTACATTTCAATCCAGTCATTTTGCCTCTTGCAAGGACCTCAAGGTGACTCACTTAATCCTCCTGCTCTGCATATTTGCCTCAAGCAACCCTGTGAGGTAGCTTAGTATTTATTTATTTAGAGGACTTCTATGCCACCCTATTCGCCAAAGCCTCAGGGTGGCTCACAATCATAAATAAATAACATAATATAAAACAATATAATTTAGCAGTATAACAGTAAAATTTAAGTCACCCTGGCCAAAGAATAAAATAAATAAATAATATTAACAATTAAAATAACGTTTGAATAAAAAGGTCTTCGCCTGGCGCTGAAAAACTAATAACGACGGCACCAGGCGGACCTCTCTGGGGAGCGCATTCCATAGATTGGGCGCCACCACAGAGAAAGCCGAGTACTTACCCTCCTAATTTCCTTCACGGAGGGTTCCCGGAGAAGGGCCTCTCCCGCTGATCTCAAGGGGCAGGCGGGCACATATGGACGTAAGCGCTCCTTCAGGTAACCAGGACCCAAGCCGTTAAGGGCTTTATAGGTCATAACCAACACCTTGAATTGGGCCCAGACTTCAATGGGGAGCCAGTGAAGCTGACAGAGAACTGGAGTCATGTGAACATAACGCCCAGTCCCCGTTAGCAGCTCTATTTTGAACCAATTGAAGTATCCAGACCGTCTTCAAGGGCAGCCCCATGTAAAGCGCATTACAGAAGTCAAGTCGGGAAGTCAACAACGTGTGTGTCACTGTCACCAGGCAGTCGTTCTCCAGGTAGGGATGCAGCTGATGGATCAGCCAAAGCTGAAAGAATGCGCTCCTCGCCACCGCTGTCACCTGAGCTTCCAGTGAAAGCTCTGGGTCGAGGAGTACTCCCGAACTGCGGACCTTGTCCCTAAGAGGGAGGGCAACCTCATTCAGGACTAGGTTCAATTCACCTTCCCTGAAGCCCGATCCGCCAACCAACAGGACCTCTGTCTTGTCTGGATTGAACTTCAGTTTATGGGCCCTCATCCAGCCCATTCCCTCGGCCAGGCACCAGTTCAGCACAGCCACTGCCTCACCTGGATTGGTGGAGAACAAGAGGTAGAGCTGGGTATCCGCAGCCCACACCTCCTGATGACCTCTCCCAGTGGTTTCATGTAGATGTTAAATAGCAAGGGGGACAAAATGGATCCCTGCGGGACTCCATGGCATAACTGCCATGGCACAGAGCCATAGTCCCCCAGCACCACCTTCTGGAATCGGCCATTGAGATAGGAGCAGAACCACCGCAAAGCGATGCCTCCAGCTCCCAATCCCGCTAGCCGATCCAGAAGGATACCATGATCGATGGTATCGAAAGCCGCTGAGAGGTCCAGGAGAACCAACAGGGACGCACTCCCCCTGTC